TCTGACAGATTACTGATGAATGAATGAATTATTTAATTCACTTCAACTCACTGGATGCAACAGAAACTATTAGTAACTCTTTTTTATAAATTTGCTTATAACACTTTTACTGAAGTTACGTAGTTGTATATTTGTGTCCGACTTTGCCGAAAGTTGGATGAAGACTCCTTGAGGTGGAATGCACTCTCTCTGAACCCTGAGGTCCACGAACCACAGGCTCCAGGAGAAATCCACTCCTCCACTTTTGCCATTGGTTAAGTATGCAAACTAGGAGTTTCCCTAAATTTCTCAATTTCCAATCAGGTTGCTTCNCTTTTGCCATTGGTTAAGTATGCAAACTAGGAATTTCCCTAAATTTCTCAATTTCCAATCAGGTTACTTTGCTATGTGACTCTGGCAGTTGCTGACCTGACGCTAAAGTTGATAGAGATTTGATGCATTAGGATCAGGGGAAGAGGCTCCGGCTCTCCCACTTCTAAGTTATAGCTGTTCCAAGCTGCCAGCTCTCAAATTGTCAAAGACTTTCCGACTCTGCTGAAACTGCCAAAATTCCAGGAAAGTACCAGATGTTACTTCCTGTCCACATAGCAAAATTTGAACTATGTCCCTTCTGCGTGTAAGAGTTGGCTATCTGCCGGATTTTCTTTGTATTTTCTTGATATTAACTTAATATAGATTTAATTAAAAGAAAATAGTCCAACAAATTATGATGAACTGTTACATCATCAAACATCTGCGGCTGGTACAATAGGCAAGAAGTGGCCGCACTACAAGGGACTTAGACCCACCCCAAAAGTAATAAAAAAAGAATGGAGTTTCATTAAAAATGTCCGTTTAATAAACAAATATATTTTAATTATACTATTACGAGTATTTAATCAAGAATAAATTGTAATTAAGGACTATGATGTAATAAATGTTACAAAGAACGTATTCGAAAACACACGTATAAAAATTTGAGTACATATTTTGCTAATGGAACAAATATGAGGGGTATACATATCTCCTAATTATTAACACCGTATGCTACAGAAATATCTGGGAGGCCCCAACTGACTCTTGTAGACAAACTAATCTGGAGTACCTTCTCACAAATTATTTGGCACGAGAGAATTACTTCTCTCTATAGGAAAGGATTACTGTATCCCAACTGGAGACATCAGGCAAGGCTTGCTAAGCTTGGTAGCCTCATTGTACCTACGGAGACAGCAGAAACGTCCAACTACCGTGCCTAAGTTTTCAGTTGGCTCAGTACACGCATTGGGGCTCTGGTAATTGTCTCGCCCTGCCTTAATTTGGAGTTAGATCGAAAAGCGTTCACAAGATAGACACAATACAGAAATCATCATTAATGCAAGTAATTATGGCTTTATACGAGACATTTCAACGGTTATATAGAACCAACAGGTACAAATGTAGTATTTAAAATTCATTTATTTTCTAAATTAAATAACAAAAAACAACGCATTTCGACTATATGTTTCTATTAACAAATTCGAAATCGATAAATTTTGACACAGAGAAAGCATATCAGTAAAATTCTGACCTTATCTTTTTAATTTTAACTTGAGACTTTTGAGGGTTGTTTCTTCGGTCTACTGGAAGACTCAAGTCTCAACACCAGTCTCTGTGTGTTTTCTGGCGATCGGATCCCTACCAGCGAAATGAAGGGAACGAAAACCCTGGAAATACGGGGAAATTTTACCCATCACAACGTGGCCAGATAAGACTGTGACAAGGAAGACTGGTTCTCCTCATTTCCATGTCCGGATCTCATATCCTGGTTTTCGTAACGAAGTAACAAGCGTGGGTCTGTCTGTATGTGTATGTGTGTATGTATGTATGTATGCAAGAGATATTTTTGTCTGTAATCTTTGTAAAAAATTATAGTTTAAAGTGGACTTTCCACTGCTCTCTGTAGGTCATTTCTTTGTCCACCAGTTCCTGTTTAAGGACAAATACTTCATTAGAGGCTAATCTTCCGCGATAATATTTGTTGAAATTTGTTTAGTGGAAGCACCGAAAATTTATAATAATTGCTTTGTTTATGGTAGTTGGATAAAATAACATCTGCCATTGTGGAATATATAAATACACAGGTCAAGTTCAGTCTATTACCCACTCAGAATAAAATCTAGCGAAGAAAATCGGATACAGGAAAGCAGAATACAATGGGAGGGTATAAGGTATTGTACACGAACAACTCATCAACGTAAGGAAATCGGGAGCTAATTTAACAAAATAAATCAGCAGGCTTATTTTTAATGTTATTTAAACCAAGCAAAAAAACTCCGTGGCCTGTAGTCCGTAAGCGAACTATACCGACCGAGGTATCGCCGTCTGTCGGCGAAGTTAGTGCCAACTTTTTCGGATAGAGGGTGTTCCGTGGACAGCGCAACGGATCCCCACCGCCTTTAATCTCCTGTTTTCTAGACTGGAGCCGTTATTCCATTAAGATAACTCCTCAATTATAAACGAGGGTGAGTGGGCCCCGTTCCAGACCAACTACTTCTCAGAAAATCTGGTAGCGCCGGGGAACGAACCCGGGATCACTGGATCTGTAGCAAGGAACTCGGAACACTATACCATAGAGGCGGTGTATTTGCACGAACCAAGTAAAATAAAACAAAATCACGTTGAGTATGCTGTTAAATGCTTCATATTCAAAACAATTCCTGGGTTTTATTGAATTTGGTTATTCTTAATACAAAATATTGTCTGGCAAAAATATATTTGATTCATTTCCGATAAATTTAATTACTAATTTATTTAATTTAGAAGAGGAAAAGGAACCAGGGAGGCAATTGAGATGATGAGAATTATAGAAGAACGAACTTTAGAGATAGATGAAGAACTGTGTGTTTGCTTCATATAAGGGCAGAAGGCATTTGACCGTGTAAACTGGAGCAAATTAATGCAGATCCTAAAGGAAACAGGTATCGATTGGCGTGAAAGAAGATTGATCAGCAAATTGTACATGGATCAGAAAGTTAGAGTACGACTGGACAGTGGGGAGACAAGAAGTGTGCAGATTGGAAGAGGAGTTCGACAGGGATGCTGTTTATCACCATTTCTGTTCAACTTGTACAGCGAATGCTGTACAATGCTCGGAGACTTCAAATTAGGAGGTCAAATTATTCAAACTGTGAAATATGCAGATGACCTTGTGTTAGTTACTATGGAAGAAACTGTGCTACAGGGCATGATTGATAGACTAATTGAAATTGGAAGGTGCTATGTTATGGAAATGAATGTGGAAAAAACAAAAGTAATGAAAATTTCGAGACAACCAACCCCAGTCACAATAAAAATACACCAAATCAACTGGAGAATGTGAAGTGTTTTAAATAATTGGGTAGCTTGTTAACAGATGATGGAAGGTGTACTAGTGAAATTAAATCCAGGATTGCCATGGCAAAAGCTGCATTTAGCAAGAAGAAGAATCTTTTACCAGCAAATTGTACTTAATTTGAGGAAGAAACTAGTGAAATGCTACATTTGGAACATGGCTTTGTATGGGGCTGAAACTTGGACACTTAGGGCAGTAGATCAGAAACACCTGGAAAGTTTTGAAATGTGGTGTTGGAGAAGGATAGATAAGATCAGTTGGACCGATTATGTGAGAAAAGAAGAAGTGTTAATTAGAGTCAGTGAGCAGAGGAATATCCTACACGAAGTAAGAAAACGGAAGGCTAATTGGATTGGTCATGTTTTACACAGAAACTGCCTTCTAAAAGAAGTTATTGAAGGAAAGATAAAGGGACGGATAGAAGCGACAAGAAGACGAGGAAGAAGACGTAAGAAGATGCTGGATGACCTTGGGGACAGAAGGGGATACTGTCATTTGAAGGAGAAAGCTGTAGATCGCATTAAGTTTAGGAATTGTTTTGGAAGGGACTGTGGACCTGTCGTCTGACAGATTACTGATCATGATGATACCAAGTTATAATGTACAGGGTCAGCATATACGTAATAATTAATTCGTATTTACAGGTTTATCTGATATAAAAGTGAGATTTCATTAATGTGCTAAACACACTGTATATATAATGGTTTATAATATTTTATATATTTATACGTAAAGAACAGAAAATATTTTATAACCTTGCGTTTTATCTGGAAAATCCCTGTGGTGAGGTGATTAGAGTCCCTGCCTACGGTCGCAGAGTTACCAGGTTCGATACAAGATTTTCTTAGAAGTACTGGGTCTGGAAAAGGGACCACTCAGCCTCGTGGGGACAATTGAGGAGATCGTTGAAAGAAATGGAGCCTCCGTTCTAGAAAACTGAGATAAACGGCCGTCATGATCCGTTGCGCTTACCACGACACCCTCTATCCGCAGCAGTTGGCATTAGCTTCGCCAACAAGAGGCGGTCGCTCAGTCGGTACACTTCTCTTACGGACTACAGGCCATGCAGTTTGTGTCTCTTCTCTCCGTTATATATGGTGAGAAGCAGATTCAGTCACAGTACGCAGTGAAACAATATTTCTAATATTGATGATCCTTTAAATCTGACATTCATCTGCAAAAGACAATGATGAAGACAGATAACTATAAAGATTTTAAATTGAAGAAAGCTACTCCAATTCTGTAGCATTGCTCTGTAATCTCTGAATACACTTTCTTGTTCACCATTTCCTGTACTTTTTGTACTGTCCTGGATCTCTGTCTAGCCCGAATACTTATCTCGATTCACTGTTAGCTGTTCGGGAATTTCCGTTTCAGTTACTTCTGCTTATATAATTATATACAACCACAAATCAATGCATAAAGAACATACTATGTACATATAAGCTCCTTTTTCAGTTTCTCAGACATACACTACAAATTGAGGAATATGCTTATGATTTACCTGTATCTCTCTCCAGATTGTCGTTGCTGTGTTCAGTTTTGCATACATCGTACTCTTGTCAGCGAATCATGGTTCTGGTCTTTCGATTGGGAATCCAGTGGTTTGTCCTCCTGTTAGATGCGTTTCTTTATCTTGCGGTGTGAAAAACGCCTCCGACTGCCACACCGGCGAGCAGTACGTACCTGTACATAGCAGAGGATGGTGCGGCTGCTGCTATGCAAACTGCTGTGGTGCTTGCGTTCAAACTGTCGGTACGTGAAGGTGTCCTCTGGAATAACAAAATGCATCGTGTTGTTCATAATCTGTTGGATGACGACTTTCATTTTGATAACTGAATTGTGTTCTGAACACTAATGCAGAACGGAGCACATGCCAGTATATTCAGATTATGAGCATCTGTTTTATGACACCGTATAATCTGTGTAAGTTTTGAAGGAAAATGTCGGTAATTCTTTAACTTCGGCTTGTAGACTTAACAAGGAAACAGGGAGCTTGTAAGGAATTTGTAACCAATAACAGATACTGCCGTGTCATGACCAAGAAAATTTATAATATTAAACCTTTGAAATGTGATACATCGATTGGGCAAGTGCGGTGGCTCTCAAGAGTACCGAAATGGAGTAGCAATACAAGAAATCATTGTGAACTGATTTTTGCGTTCAATTTCTTGCCTTCTATGTGCAATTTCGGTTAATATACTGTCATCTTTTCTTTATTGTGACTATAAGTTTATCTAACAGGCGAGCATCAGATGTACAGGTTGTTATGACGAAGGAGTCTGCCACTCACTGTAACACTGTTCTCTTTTCGTATGAAATAAAATTCTAATACAACTCATCACATATATTACAGATAAGGCGAACATGTGCATTGCAACAGTTCGTTAACGCAAATAAATTAGATTCAGTCCGAGGAAGTTACATAAGGAAAGCAGAATGGCATTACAGTGAGAATCATAACAACCTGTTCACCTGATAATGGCCGGTTAGACGGAAACCTGTAATGACAATAAAGAGATGACAACGAGAGAATACAAACCGACGTTGCACATAGACGGAAAACAAGCGGACGGCAAAGTCAGACCTAGGCAGTTCAAAAGGATACTGCTCTTCAGTGTCTTCCTTAATTTGCTTTCAGCTGTTACCGATATTTTCAATACGCTGGGTTATTACGTTCGCATGTATGGACCGTCTTCTGGTGCACAAAATCTCACTTGTCACTTCACTACATGTTTCGGCATTACTGTGCCATCCTCAGGTGTGTTATTTACGTTAAACCATTGCACTGCTCGCCATCACGTGTCGTTTATAAAATGATACAAAATGTATATTCGTCATGTACTATAATAACATTTATATATTAAAATTTTGTTAAGATTTATCATCTTATACGTCGAATTTCAAACTCGCGTATTATATCAATCTTCCGCTATGGCAGTCGTTCTTCTTACATTTTGTGTATACTGCGTCTTGTGATGTGTCCTCTTGTGGCTGCGTGAGTTGTGTTATTATTATTAATATTATAAATTCATAATATGTAACAAAGTCAATATTATTAAAATTGTTCCTAGGTATTGGAGACAACTGCTCAGCGAGTTACGACGGTTATAACGGACATTACAAAGTGTGTCCCGGTGGCTTGGAGTGCAGCCATGATTCAAACAAGTGTGTAAGGACCATCTCCACTACAACGATACTCCCGTAAGGACGCGTATTTTAGTGAGCTGCTGTACTGAATGTAACACTGTAATAAAACATTGAAGATACTGGTACTAGTGCCACTTTTGTTCCACATGCCTTACCCAAATGAAATGGTATGTTTTGGTGGATAGTACGATACAGTATGCATGACTAAGTTTCAGCACACTTAAATGAACGCAAAAGCATACTTAAATAAACATAAAAGAATGGCTGGTTTCTGCAAAGTTCGGCGAATTTTATGACTGACTGTAAGGGATTCGTTCCATGCAGATCGCTCAAACAGAACCGTTTCTGTATTGTTGTATTGTAGGCACTGGTTCGTGTCGGGTACGATACACCATATATTCTGATTGAGATTCCTTTTAGATTTCCTCGGTCTCTGCAGGCAAATGATGAAACAGCGACTAAAATTTAGTGCGCGACAGCCTTCTCTTCTGTCCTTTAACACTTTGCGGACCGCGCGCCCTTTAAAAGATTTTTCGCTTTTAAACGTGGCGGACCGCTGGCATATTTTTATTACTTTAGGACACATTACGTTGTAACACACTATACCTTGCTCTGGCACTATGCAACTGCAAGGAATACTGCATAATAAATCTTCGGAATGTACGCTAAGTATTCAGTCACTTGACCTGGCTGGCTAGGGTCCCTACTCCAAAAGAAAATATACTCTGCCCCTTCCAGCTGTTTATATACCAGACAGAAGTTAGTAGAGGGGAATATGTTTCAAGGAACAAAGCGGTTGAAGGCAAAGTGTTCTCTCTGACTTGTTTATGGAGGTATCTGACATGCCTTGGGGAGGAGTAGTGATTAGTGACTCAGACAGTGGAAGTGACAGGGGTCAACAAAGAATTGTGGCCACAGATAATAAAAGTGAAAGTTGCCTTGTGTCTTATAAATTGTGCCATTTTCAATTCATTTTTGGTTTACAAAAATCTAAACCCTGATTCTAAATTGAAATACGAAGCATTTCTGATGAATGTGGCAAAGGCCAGGGCTACAGCCCAAATGGTGGCGGCAGAACCAGGGTCACACAAAGACTTAGTAGGATCTGGCCCTTCAACTCCCACCCCATGAAGGCCTCATGTGGACCACCCCAGGGCGACTCTCGAGTGATTTGCCTAAAAATACCCGCGTGCAAATTGTGAAGAGTGAACATTCCAAGGGGAAGAAACTTTCTAGGCAATGCCATGTTTGGACTGTTCACAAAAAGAGTATGAGTGTCTACATTTGAAAGTGCATAATGCCACTTAACAAAGGGGAATGTTTCCAGAAATATCGCACTCTGAAGCACTTCTAGGAGCATTGGTAAATGTTATCCAAAAATTTTATTTCATAAAATTAACTAGGAAATGTTATATTAATTTTTAAAGTGAACAGTGCACAATTTAGGGTAGTAGGTTTAAAAATGCCGGTCTCCAAGGTGATTTAAATATTTAAATCGCCGGTCCGCAAAGTGTTAAAATTCATCATCTCCGGCATTTCGTTATATTACGCTGCAGAAATGACGTGGCAATTGGCGCGCGGCTCTTCTTAGCCATCACTGGAATTCCCGGAAATAAAGTTTAAACCCTTCTTACAAAACTACCAGAAAGTAGAAAGACTCCTGCACGCAAAGCACATAGACAAAGTAAACTATTAAATACTTTTTAAGAAACTACCAGAAAATAGAAAGCCTCCTGCAAATGAAGAAAGTAGCTAAGCAACCAGGTCTTACATTTTACGTCTTCGGTTTCTGAGCTTCTGAAGCTTATCACACACGCCTCGATATTCAGTAAATCTGTTCGTTCTTAAAATATTATCTGGATTACCGACAGTGTTGTTAATTAGACTCTATGCAAGCACACATAAACTTTGCAATCTGTTACAAGCGTAGGCATGTTCATTTGTTCACTCATTCATTGATTAATTCATCATTGGCTCTACAGCCCTTTTTTGGACCCTGACCTCATATTTTGGACGAGTGATCAGCCCGTCGCTAGAACGCTACGAACACAGACACATACCTTGAGTGGGATTCGAACCCACGAATTCTGCGTTCGAGCGAGGGAAGACAGTTCATGCCTCAGAATGCGCGGCCTTGGTGATCGGCAGTATCGGTGAAAATGTCCGTTTAATGAATCAAAGCACAAATATATTTTAATTATCGCATTACAAGAATTTGATCAGGAATAAATTGTAATTAAGGCCAATGAGGTAATTAAAGTCACAAGTAACGTATTCGAAAATACGCGTTCTAAAAAATGTTGAGCCATGTTCTCACTCTTGGTGCAAATATGACACGAAAATATAAGTGTATATTCATAAATATTAATTTCACAACGTGAAAATCAGGCCTACATTGTGTGCGAATATCTTTGACATTTCGAGACACTTGTGTGCAGTGTGTTGCGGCACAAGGAATTGAATACAAGCGAAGTTACACAAGTGTTTCGGAGGGTTCACCCGGGTCCTGTAGACAGACTAACTTGGAATAAATTCCCACAAAATGGTTTGGCACGAACAAGTACCAGTATAATACAGGTTTCGCATTAAATTGTTTCTTTCGGCTGTCTCTTCACAAGACATCTTTATATACAGATAAATTTCTTGAAAATACAAATGTAGAATATTTTGTGCAGTGGGAAAACACATAAGCTCACACTTTTGTGTGTAAGAATAGCAGTAGACTTGTGTTTCTGTTGCTGCTTTAAAAGAGAAATAGACAAGCAGAAGCCAGAGGCGAGACATTCATCGACAAAACAGAGATGCTGTCTGGCAACAATACTCGTATATCTTTCATGTGATGCTCGACTTCCTTTCGCACCACCAAAACTGTAAATGTTTACGTTGTTTGTACAATCACATCAGAAACGGGTTAGTGATCAGCGGTTCGAATGACGACGCTTTCGGTATCACGACGACGTAACAGCGACGAATGGCAGGATGCGGATGAATTATGAATTGAAAGGAATTTAGAAGGAACCGGTAGTGATGTAACTAAGGTACTATTCCGGCATTTGCCTGAAGGAACTGAGATAAACCGAGAACAATATCATTCGGATATTAGCCTAGATTGGAGCCCAACAACTCCCGAATAAAAGCCTAGAGCTTTCTTTATTATTTTAGATGCTCGTGGTGTCACAGAGTTTCACTGCTTTCTGCATTAATATCTTCCGACATATATTGTAGAGTCATTAAGTTCGTGGAATGTGGTTTTATCGAATCATATTACAAGGTATTCACATACACTTACGCAGATCCACATCGGCCCTAAGAATAGTTGCTGTTAGCCGCTTTACAAGTCTGCGAACATTGATAATAGCTGAAATATTTTGATACTAAATTCCCGTATGATGCTTTGCGGCCATTCCACTAACTTACTGACTATGGTAGTATGACACCGTTAGGTGAAGTAGATATGTATCAAAGTTTCGGAGAAATTTGAAATTTCATCTTCAGGATACTTATATTCTGTCTGTCACAGTATAGAAGATCTTCCATATTGTCTGTATTTTATTTTCTATTTTTTATAATTTGGGCTCGGTTGTTTACATTCTGCTCCTTATATAAGAAAAAATTTATAGTGTCAAAAAATATTTCGATATATAATTGAACTGAATTTAATAGGCAATCTAATATATTTCCTATGCGGAATTTTGTTTATCGAGCCGTTGACTAGAAACGGGTAAGATAACTCCGTTGTTGCATTGCTGCGTGCGTGTATTATTTAGAAACGGCTATTTCCGTATCCCAGTAGTTCCTACATAGAGCAAATACGCCACTTTATAAAACCCATCCTACTTGCGAGTTTAATAAGTCACTAAGCAACTTATAAAAGTGGTACGAGCAAAGAAACTGGAGTTTTTCCAACTTGCAAATTTGTGGCTGGTTAAACTTAGAAAATTGATAACAAAATATCCAAAGCAGAGGCCTGTGACGTCAGAGATGCACTGGGGGTGAAATGAGAAAAATGTGTGGAAATATACGAGTAGGTATAAAAGCAGCTTAAAGTTACTCTATCTTAACATTTATTAAGTATGTCCTAATGAATTCTTTGGATACCAGGCCACAATGCCCGGCTGTAACACGACATGTGCCCACATTGAACAAAGCCGGTTATCACAAAAATATTGGGAATTTACTACATAAATTGTGTGGAAGACATTGACACAAACTTAAAATNGGGTTTCTGCACTACAAGGTTTCTAATACAACAGTACAAAAATATTAATGATAACAGGTGACATGCGCGTTTCAATTCCGGGGAAAATTCGACCAAAGTATCTACCGATATATAAGACCTGTAGCAAGTGGCATACACCAAAGCACGGCCAGTTGTCGCGGCAGTGAGAAGTCTCAGCAACTCCGATAAGGTAAAAAACCATAAATACTTATATTCTCTTTAATTCATTGCGTACTGCCTTACATTCCACTAAGTATTTTCTGACTAATTCTGTAGTCAAGCCAATTCTTATTGGATGAAATATTACTCGTTCTAACGTTGAAAAAAGGAACTCAAGAAAAGGGAACAAAAAAAGAAAAAGCAATAAATCAAAATACAAATGATAACCTATTTCCTAATCTATAAAATTTCTATTGTAACAACAGCAATTAGGGATATGCAGAATTGTAGCAAATTGCACACGCCAAAGCATGTTGGTTGCCACTGCAGCGGGGAATCCCAACAACTCCGAGAATGTAACTGTCATTTGTTATTATTCCTGTGCTACTGCTTGGGAGGACATGCACGTACGTTCTGGACTCTTACAGTTTAAATAAATAAAGTATTTCAGTTTACGGATACAACACATGATATTCATGCAGAATTCCTGCCGCTCTGCAACTACACCTAACTCATGTACCAGCAGTTGCCTGAGTCTGCAAATAACGTTCCGAAGGCGAGATAGAAATGGCGGCCCGTGACCCAGTGGTCAGGATAATGGGATTCGTAACGGCATCATGTCTATGTCTGCCGCCTTAACGAATTGAATTAGTGACAAATTAATTACACGTTATTCAATACAAATTCAGGATGCAGTTACAACTGCGATATTGCGAAACACATAAAAATTGAACATTGCAAAATAAAATTGAAAAACATTTTGATACTCGGATCCAAATGGAACTATTATTTTAGGTACACGGTTCATGAAGATGGAAACACAGCCTCCCCAGAACCACCAGTGAACATCTAACACGAAAACCACCCAATTATCTCTTCTTCATAAAGATCTCAAAACTCATTTCACTGTACACTGCTCGCTGGTAAGGACTGAATGAATGGCGTCAGAACCATGGCGCGTTCTGACCGAGCCTAACACCGGAAATTCCTCTTAGCCTCTATAGTCCAGATCTCCCGTCTATTATCCATGGGTTTCAGGGACCGCGTGATAAAGATAGAAACGGAATTAGATTGTTCTAATCCCTTCTTTGTAAACATGCGCCTAAGAGATATGGGGGGGGGGCAAAATGGAAAATCTTAGCAGAAATGTCCGACTTCAATAACAACGAAATTCTGACAACAAATAAACCACGAAGGCGCGATATACACCAAATCACAGGATGTTCTAAACACATTTTAACCCACGTATCAGACAACTACAGACTTTACATAGATTATAGAGCTGAGAGGTTATTCTCATGTCACACATTGTCTGAAATAGAGAAATTGCGCGAAATATAATCTGGTTTCTGCAAAACGCAGTGTCTGAAGGCCATTTGTGGGAATCTTGAGAACTCCATCATACCAAGGATACACCAGAAACCCCAAGTTCGCTACAATGAGGACTGCCGTGTTCCTGTTTGCAATTCTGGTCGTGCTCGGCACCTTCATCGCACAGTACCCTGCAGGTAAGCTAACTTACCGTCACGTATATGAGTGACTATAGGAGGGGGTTGCATTGGTAATTGTTCGTATTGACTTTTCACAATTCTTAATTACAAGTACATATTTCTCTCCCCCACGGCTTACAGACCTGTATAGGAGCTTCTAATTCTCTTATCCAAGGGGAACCGAGGTCTGTAGAATACATGGATCTGTAACTACACTCCACATACGTCTCCATTTCGTGGTGCTTAAATAATGTAGCAGAGTGATAACATTATACTTCCTTTATAATCAATATCAATGACGAAATGAAAGTATAGCTGTATGCATTCTGAACCTCGGTAGTAGTTGAGTGGCCCAGATTCACTCCCCGTCCATTTTCTCCCTGAGAAAAGAGCCCTCGGCACCCACTGAGTAGGAGACTGGGTTGTATCCAAGGTACACTGTACGTTATAAAGAAGAGAAAAATTATCTTTACTCCGCCGATAATTAATCCCAATTACTTGCATTTGACGTTTTTACGATAGTGTCTATAATCTTTACTATTTTTGGAATGTGATGCCATGTAGTCTAGTAGAAACATACGTTCTGGATGTCTATACTACCTCCAACCTCAGTGCTTACATATAAGTGAAGCAAGAAAACCGGCATTCAGCAAGCAGCAGGCAAATTGTTTCTATCTCCCTTTTCACCCAACTTAATGAAACTGTAAAAGGAGGCTGCATGTTCTTCCGTAACATCGGTAAGCCTCTGTCTGACTTCTGGCGTTACATCCAAGATACAGAACTCTCCATACCATATTCCTTATCATGGCGGAGATTTTACTTGCGCAACTTGAAACAGAAACAAAAATGGGAGGTTCTTTCTTATCGGTAGAATTTAATTTCTATTTGCTCTATGCTGATAATTGAAAAATAGTCTTCACAGCCATCCTTATTTTGCTTCTTTTTTTATAGAAGCGGCCTGCGATTTCCAGCAATGTTGGGTCACATGCCAGAGGCAGTACACTATCTATTTCGAGAGGGCATTCTGTGACGGAGGTACTTGCAAATGTGGTAAGTTTTGTGGATACTAAGCGCTTCGTCATTCACTGTGAAGTAGGCAAGGACGTTTTCAAGCAGGCCTTCTCAATTAGAGTCACTGTTCCGAATGTGCATGTACATGCCCTCAAGGAGGATGAATCTAATGATACAAAGGATCCCTTTATGAAAATCCGGTGTGTGCAGTCCGTAAAAACCCAAAATATCGCAACGTATGTGTATCGTGACATAATGTTGGAACAGTTCAACAGTGAAAACATCATAGCAGCCACGAGCAAACCCTGGACGATATAAAGAACCTCCACATCAAGAGAGCCAGCTGGCACAATATCTGCCCCATATAAGAGGGACGATGGGAGGACGAACACGAGCCTGCATGGTTTACGAATTTTAATTATTGACAATCCAAAATATTTTTAATTAGCATCAAGAAATTTTATACAATTTTTTAAAAATTCTCGTTCGTGCGCTCCGAGTGAACGGACGTATTGTGAGAGCTAAGAGGTTATCGATCTGAAGTTCCGAGTGAGACAGAGAGTTAACTACAGTGCTCAGTTGAAAATTACAACGTATTAGCAATACAACCAATTACAATAAATTCAGTGGCGACTTGTAAGAGTCAAATCAAATCAGAAGAAACCTAAAAACGGACAAGAAATGCTACCAGCCAGCAATGGACCAGGATGCAACAACTTTCAAATGTATCAACCCGTAAGTACCCAGTGGCAACCAACAATCATTAGTCAAGTAACTCCACCAGTACAAATTCCAATACACATGCAAAACCAACATTTCTTACCTAACGCATTCAACCTCCCATGCAATTCCCAACCGACTACAGATGACCCAATGTCATTACCAAATCAATGCAACCAACTGCACAGAACAACCCCTACCACTGATGATGAACAAGACGGAGACATCACTGAAACCACTAACACTACATCATGGCAAAAAGTAAGAGGCACCAAAGGAAGGAAAACAAACAAAGTCATCCAAAGCAACAATCCTCCAGAAGCAACAATAACAACAAACAACAGATATGACCTACTTCCAAATGAAACAGTAAATGACGAAGAAACAGAGAACGCAAACACAACAAAAAAGATTCCCAGGCCTCCACCAATATTCGTATACGACGTCATAAATTATCCCCAGATGATAAATCACTTAGCCGTGGTAACAGAAGAAGAGAATTACAGCACCAGGTCAATGGCAAACAACATAATCAAAATAAACTGCAACTCCCCAGAAACATACAGAAAGATGATAAACTTTATGAGAGAAAACAACATCATATTCCATTCGTACCAACCAAGAGACGAAAGGGCCTACAAAATAGTCATAAAGCACCTACACCATACGGTAGAACTAAAGGACATAACGGAAGAATTAGCTGAACTAGGCCACAAGGTCAGAAACATAATCAATGCAAAGCATCGTCAAACTAAAGAACCGCTCAACTTATTCTTTGTAGATTTAGAACCAGCAAACAACAACAAGGAAGTCTACAAAATAAGAAGTCTCCAAAACAAAATCATTGAAATCGAACCGCCTAATAAATCCAAGCACATAATCCAGTGCACAAGATGCCAGTTGTACGGCCACTCTAAGACCTATTGCAATAGGCCTTACCTGTGTGTCAAATGTGGTGGACATCACAATTCAACAGCTTGCAAAAAGAGTAGAGACACCCCGGCAAAATGTGGCCTTTGTGGGGGATTACACCCCGCAAATTACAAGGGCTGTGAATACTACCACAACTTAACTAAAAATAGAAAAGCAACCCAAAAAATGCAAATTCCAAACGATAATTACACTACAGCACCAGACCCTCACCCTGTTGCCCCCCTACCCAACACACTACCAATCCTGCCTCCCAGAGTAAACAGATCCTACGCAGACGTAACCAGAGGTCAGAACGACAACAGCCAAAACATAACGCTAAGCAAATTTTTAGAAGAATTCAAACAGATGTTTCATGAACTTATACAGCAAAATAGCTTAGTACTTAACATGCTAACCACGCTAATAAGCAAACTGAAGTAATAACTAAGTTTCTGAGAATAGCACTCTGGAATGCGAATGGTCTTATTGGGCACAAAGACGAAGTGATTCTGTTCCTTAAAGAACAACACATAGACATTCTGCTCATCAGCGAAACGCACTTCACAGCCGAAAGTTATATCAAAATTCCAAACTACAGAGTGTATCATACCAATCATCCAGATGGCACCGCACACGGAGGCACTGCTATCCTCATAAAGCAAACAATCGATCATTACCAACTCCCAAAATACAAGGAGAATCACTTACAATCCACTTCTATAAAAGTCAGTACATTCCCTTATGAACTAACGATTTCAGCGGTGTATTGCCCCCCTAGGCACAACATAAAAAAGAACACTTCGAGCAGTTCTTTAGCACATTAGGCCAGAGATTCTTAGCTGGAGGAGACTATAACAGCAAAAACGTCATATGGGGCTCAAGACTAACGACCACGAAAGGAAGGGAACTTGCAAAACTTATGCAGGACAATAACTATTCATATATCTCAAGTGGAACTCCGACGTACTGGCCAACTGACCCTGCAAAAACACCAGACCTTCTAGACTTTTTTGTAGCAAAAGGAATTTCGGCAGCATATACAGACATTGAGCCTAATTTTGAACTTTCATCAGATCATACTCCCATAATAACGACCATAAGTTCTTCAGTGATAACCAGACATAACACTTCAAGATTACATAACCACAAAACCAACTGGGAAAAATATAGAGAAGAAATCATCAACAATATAAATCTAAAAATAACGCTGAAGAAAGCCGAAGACCTAGATTTTGCAATTGAAACACTTACAAAAGTCATGCAACAAGCCGCTATTCAATCCACACCTCCACTGGAATCACAAAGAAGTACCAACTGTACTCCTCTAGAAATCAAACAACTTCTAAAGGATAAAAGAAAGGCAAGAGCGATATGGCACCGAACCCACAACCCAACCGATAAAACCAGATACAACCAGTTGACAAATAAGCTAAAAGCCAAATTAAAGAAACTGAGAGAAGCATCCTTTACGGATTTCATACAAAACCTCAGCAGGTATGATTACTCAATATGGAAGCCCATTAAAAACATAAAAAAACCTAAAGAATCCTCGCCACCAATACGAGAAACAACACCAACTGCAGGCCCCTGGGCAAGAAATAATAAAGAGAAATCTGAACTCTTTGCAAAATATTTTGCCAATATATTTACTCCGCATAATGAGGCAGCACCCACAAATGATCCAAACGACCTATCAGAGGAAGAAGAGTCAACGTCTACTGAAGAACATCGGACACTGAAGCTAACTACTCCTAAAGAAATCAACGGAATCGTTAAGTCATTAAGCTTGAGAAAGGCACCAGGTCCAGACCAAATAACTGCAAAGATGCTGAAAGAGTTACCAAAAAAGGGATTTGTGTTGCTGACATACATATTCAATGGCATATTAAGGATGAGCTACTGGCCTATAGCCTTAAAACTCTCTCAGATCATCACAATAATTAAACCGGGGAAGGATCCTTCGGACATAGCTTCGTACCGACCTATAAGCCTAACATCAGTAATATCTAAGGTATTCAAAAAAATCATACTCCGCAGAATTAAGGATGACCTCACAACAAATACATGGATACCTCAACACCAATTCGGCTTTCGACCAGGACACACAACCATACAACAAGTGCATAGAATAACCGACGAAATCAACAAATCCTTAGAAGCGGGAAATTATTGTACAGCTGCGTTTCTGGACGTAAGCCAAGCGTTTGATAGAGTCTGGCATGACGGCTTGCTATTTAAAATCAGAAAGACTCTTCGACCCCCATACCCCAAACTCTTCAAATCTTATCTGAACGACCGATA